TTAATAGTTCCAATAATTGGTGGTGCAATTTGGCAGCACTCCACAAGAAGCAGGAAGGCACAACAGTAGCAGATGTTATCATATTATACAGTTGGCATGGTTAACATTTCAGCAAACATTTGCATTTTCTCACATCCAGCAGACAAGTAGCGCCGCCGACAATCATTTAGTCACGTCTTTGTTCACCAGATAAATCTAAGTCTAGTATTTGCGACTCTTCTAGTTCTGTTTTAGTCTCTATCAGCGCTTGGAAAAGTGAGTGAGTTTGTAGGTGTTGCCTGTTGTGTGACTTTCTTTTGACTTTGAATGTGTGATGCCAGGAAATGGGCTCATATGAAGGTGCATGTATTAGGTTTATTAGAGTTTTTTTTTTTGCTGAAAACAGGAGCTTTTCCTGCTGGAAATCAGGGTTAATGAAAGCAACAAACTAAAAGAAGCAGAGCTCTCCATGGGGTTGAAGGGAAAGAAATGTTAATCTGCATGAATTCTGTGCTAGTTTTTCATCAAATTGCCATAAATCTTAAAAATGAAATAACAAAAGATTCATTTCTTAGATACAGATGCATAAATTTACAAACAAACTGACAGAAAATCTAGAATCAGCAACATTTCTCCGAGGGACGACAGGTGTTAGCAATACTTTAAAAAAAAAAAAAAAAACGGCACTATATACTATAGATATTTACTTAGAGTTTTCATTCATTTCCATTATGTCTCCTGACTGCTTCGTTTCAACACAGCCTGCAGATCAATTGACTGGCTGTGTCAGTCATGGCTTCTTGGTTGCATGAAGGAGTGCACAATTTTTTTTGTTTTTAACAGAATGTGGTGAAAGATTTTAGGTCTAAACTTTGTTAATTTCCCGATGGAGGTGGAAGTCACGGCTGATATGGATCGTTGGAAAGTTGATCATGTGATGATTACACTTCCTGCCTCTAATAAATGGTGTGATTTTGGTGATTTCTTGAAAAGGTAACGTGCCTTTCACACCCACCGGCGGGTTCTGGGATACAGAGGATTGGTTTGGACATTAAGCATGTAACAAGTTCTCAAACATTAACCTTTTACAAATGCATTGCTTTTACGGGGCACTGAGTAAGTTGTGTTTTGGAGAAAATGGCGAGACCAGATTCATGTAATCATTATAGAACTGTTTGCTGTATAAAAACGACATTGCAGCAGTGAAAGTCAGTGCACCGGTGTGGTCTGTGTGGAATACAAGCCCAATTATTTTGTTCTGCAATCAGCTCTGAAAGAATAGGCTTGAATGCTGTGGGGGTAATTAGAGATGCCCTTGCACGTCAGTATAATGAGCGCAGGTATAGTCTCAGCTTGCTACACGTACAGTTTGGATGTGACACTTGATGTAACCTCAGGCAAAGAACACTCTGGCTTTTGTCAATAAATAGCATAGAAACGCCCAAAAGTATAGATATAGAGAAAATCAACCTACGGGTGTTTGTTTAGACTAGATAAATAATTTATTACTTGCCAAACCACTAAAAACAGCACGCGTTGGTTGTCGTCAAGCAGAAGAGTTGGTCTGCCGCTGAGATCTGTTGGTTGAGTTGAAGTAGAAGTAACATAAATTTATAAAGCCTGCGGTTAAATGTATAGGTCACTCAAACATGTTTTTGCTATTAAATATTCAGCTCTCTCCTGAGCACCTCGTGAGGTGAGTTTTACTCGAACTCAGTGCTGCACTAATAGGTTTTATGGATATTTATTTATTTATTTTTTTTTACAGTTTTTAAATGATATTCCCATTAAGTTTTACTGTTGTAAGCTTTCTTTCCAGTCATGTGTGTTACCGTGCTGCTCGCTTACTTTGAACTCCAGCACACATACTTTCGTCAAATGTGTTGCAGCTTAAGCCCTATCATAGCAGAATTTCAATTCCAGTGGAATCCATGGGGGACGAAGCAAAGCTGTGAAACTTGCATTGTTGTCCAAAAACATGCTGTTTTTTGACCCTGGACTTAACATCGATCGAGAGAGCTCAGAACGGGGGATTCTACTGTATTTTAGCTTGTTTTCTCTGTTGCACCATCAACTTTTATTGAACCGTCCGCTGTACGAGTACAAAACTACTTTACACATAGGAATAGCTGTCAGACAGTTTTGAGACAGGAGCCAATGGTACAAAACATTTCCTTATTAAAGAGCGTGCTTGCTGATAGTGTACAAATATGCTATCCTTTCCTCACCTTCAGTGACTTATTATTGGATGAAATAATGTCTCCACACACTCCTGAGAAAAGATATCAGAGGCCAATCGGGGGCCACTCGGGTTTTACACAAAGAAATAGTGTGAAGCAATGCACTCATCATGAAAGAATATAGTGATGTTATGCAGCAAGTTAAGCAGCCTGGGCCAACCTGGGCTACAAGAATATGTAATCCATTTTTACATGCCTCAAACACAACTCAAACACCAGCTAAATGAATTATCAGATATGGACATCGATGTAGCGCCACCAAGTCAACCCACTCGTCACATTTCTGGCTCTGTCGCTGCTGTACGTTATGAAAGACGCACAACCTCCCCAGATTCTAAACATATCCATCAAAGCTCTCTAAAACCAAAGCATCAGCGAGAAACAACCCAAAGAACAGCAAAAACCGAAACCGCTTCATCAAACTGTAGTTGTACGATTTCTCTTACCTTAACTGTTTTTCCATGAAAACTTTATTTTATAAATCCACACCGGAATCAGTTAGTACTACTTCCTGTGTCATACAGAAAGCACGTCACGTGTCTCTTGGAGGCTCTGTTTCCTTTAGGGCACTTCCCCAAAGCGGACGAGCGAGCGAGCGGCTAAAGTACAAGGTGGTGTCCTGCTGATTCTGATTGGCTAAAAGTGTTGTCAATCTCGCTATATTCTATTGGCTCTAACGATTCGAAGGAGGGTTCAGTCACCGAAATCGACCAATCCATGACGGAGATAGAGCCGTGCGTCACCACCGAAGCTTCACAGCCGTCTTGGTCGCCATTACGCACAGGCCACGCAACGGAGACAGTAGTCTGGTTGGATTAAAAAAAACTAAAAAACTGCTTTGGATGTATTGAACACCATCAGTGAGATACAAGTGAAATATATAGTTTGTACATAAGAACATTCAGATGGTCACCAGTGTGTCAAAATGTGCCAAAGTGTGCAAAAATGTCACCTCGCCTGAACTGTCTGGACTAAAAACTCTCTAATTTTGTTCTGCTTCACTTTATCAGAGTCGACCTTTGCAGGGAGAATGTTCACATATAGTGCTCTGATCTGGGAGAGGTTCAGAGCTGCAGCTGGATCATTACAAAGAGATAATTATCCTGAAACTGCTTTTTTTTTTTTTTTAAAGGCGAACCTGAATTTTTTAAATTTGTGTGTGTGCCATCTTCATTTACTTTTAACCAGTAACATATATACTGAAATTTACACATCTGAACAAATCTTACAAGTGTTCCTTTTATTATGACACAAGAATTATTCAAATAGACCTTGTGGTTTCAGAGATAAACTGTTTTTATTGTGGGTATGTACTTTCTGAGCAAAGGCCTGAAAAATAGCTCAGGGCTTAAAGGGTTAAAGGGCATTTTGCAAAGTAAATAGAAAGAGGTTTGGAAAGCTCTTGCAGCTGACTAAGGTTGTTTTAGGCTTGAGAATGTGTTGGCTGTTGGCTGACACCATCTACAGCAGGTCACCAAAGAGCCCTGAAGTCAATTATAATAAACTGGTTTCCACTGCAGCAACTTGTGGGCCACTTTAAGGTGGCTGGAACCTCTGATGGCAAGAACCGCCCCAGTACAACCTCTGTCAGGGCTGCTTTCTGTGGACAAAACAGCACCTACTAAATGATGCTCCTAAGAGGCCTTAAAAAGCTGCTATTTCAGACCCATCACAGATTGGTTACACTTTGAGAAGACAACACTGATTGGTTAAATTAGAAGATGTCACAACAAGTAGCATTTTTCTGCCTCTCAAAGTCGTCGTTGAGTAGCAGTCTTCTCCTCTCTAACATCTCCATAAACGACCTTAAATTTATCTTATGGGCTAAAATAGTAAACCTCATTTTTTTTCTGTTTCCTGCAATACTCATAGACTTGTACCACCTCGTGCCTGCCCTGAGTTCCTGCAGTGGAAAGCGGCCTTTCGCTACCAAGCTTCTGGACCCACAACAATGTGTGGATGATTTTTGCTGCTCGGCTTTCTGCCATGTCCGAGCCTTTGGTGTTTCTAATGTGGCTGGTTTCCTCCACATCCAGTGTAATCTGTATTTTAAGATAAGATAGACTTCATTATCCCAGAGGGAAATTTGCTTTGGACACACATTGCTGCGGCGCTGCTAAACCAAATCATTCAAAATGCATCTCATTTTGCTCATGGCTTTGCCACCAATTTGTTATATAATTGATTACAACTATTTACACTGGCTTTCTATGGAAAGTACTAAACCTGAAATCATTCTAATGCATTATTTGTTCAGATTCTACATAATGTATGAATAATTACTCTCTTTTAGTGTGCCCCTCCAGGCTTGGTCATTAAATAGTGTTTTGCAGAATGGCATAAACAAATGTCTGAGAAGAGCCACTAAAATGGTGCTGAATCCAATTACCTGACATATTTTTTGATAAAGGTTTGGGTTTGGTGATCATTTAAGTGGATATTTTTGTCAAATCAATTCAGATGTATGATCTAGGGTGCTACCTTTGACTCAGTGAAATGTTGATGAGCAGATGACTCGTTTACAATTGAAGTAATCATAATGTTTTAAATGAACTTTTATCATTTAGAATGACCGACGGTAAATATTATCTCAGTTTGAATTCCATAAATCTGACCTGAAGTTATTTGAACCTTTATTAACTTTGTTTTAAAGTTTCAGATGATAGTTATGTAACTGTCATTGCTGGAGTCATAAAAGTGTTAGAGCTTCTTTTCGGCCCATCAAGCATTATGTAAGCAGAAACGTGCATCTCTAAGTGCTTCTCCCATCTCCTGTTACAGGATGGCCATCCAGGTTGACAAGTTTGACTTTGAGAGTCTGCCACAGCCAGACCAGGAGACTGTTCGCTTCAGTAACCCCAAACAGCTGGAGGAGGAGCGACAGCATGCCCAGGGCTGCCAGATCAACAGCAAGCTGGGCATCTGTTGGAGCATCATATCCTTTCAGTGGCTACATGTGCTGCAGAGCTTCATCTCCATCATTGCTTTAAAGACAGCAGATAGAGGTGATCCAGATTGGGAATGTTCTGAACCAGGTAACAGGTAATGATCTCCACTAGTTTCACGCAGTCAAACTGATTCTGTCAGCTGCTGGATGTTGTTTGTTGACATCAGTCAGCTCAGTGATACAGCACATCTGGACACTTCATCTGGAGGCCTTCTGGCCAGTAAGCAACGTGTTTGCCGGGATTGACAGATGGAAGAGCGTATGGTGAAGCCCTTGCTACTCTGACAGTGTGAAATGATGTCTTAGTGTGTTTGTCTGTGGGTGTGTAATTGTGATGCATACTGGCATCAACATGATGTAACATCTTCTCAAAGCTCCTTGTTTGTGGGCAAACACTGTGGTCTGTGTAAGGTAGTCTCTGACTTCACGTCAGCATGAAGCCCTCAGGAAGAGATTTCATTTCATACTGTTCAACACACTTCGATCACGAATCAAAAATGTATAAGTATAGACTTGACATGGAGGTGCTGATGTTCTGTGGAGTTGCTAACAGACACTATACTGTCTTAAAACCCTCTCTCCTTTTTGTTGGTCCGTTGTTGAGCTCAACATTGAACTTGATTAGTGCATGTCAGTGAGCTTAAATATTAGGACCTCTCATAGATGAAGCAAAGAGTCTTCATTCTTTTGTAGAAACAGCAAATGCCAGGATGTGAGAGTTGGTTCTTATATTCACTTTACTCTTGGGGTCATCTTTTGTATCTTTGTGGTCGTTAAATGTCTCTTTGTGGTTGTTTTGTGTCTCTTTGTTGTCATTTTGTGTCTCTTTGTGGTTACTTTGTGTCTCTTTGTGGTTACTTTGTGTGTCTTTGT